AGGAAGACTCATCTTCATGAGTACAAATCTGGCCTCAGACACTTACTGGATGTGAGACCCTCGGTCTGGAATGCCAGACCTGGAGTCAGGCAGACTCATCTTCATGAGTACAAATCTGGCCTCAGACACTTACTAGATCTTCGACCCCTAGTGCTCCGTCTGATCCCTGGAGTCATAGACCTCGATTCTGGTCATCATCCCCAACATGTATGCATGCACCCATGTGTTGGAGTGAGGGGGTGGGAAGCGGGAGGTGCAGGCACTAAGCAAGGCTCGCCCATAGTAAGAGCAGCCAGTGCTTCCGAGGCTCCCTGCTCGATGCTCCGAGATGCTTCCCTCCAGTACCACCTATCTCCCCCTCACCCTGTTTACCTCAGTTTCCTCATCTTTAAAATGAGCTGGAGAAGGAAATGGCAAACCACTCAGTATCCTTGCCAAGAAAACCCTCAAAGGGGTCACCTAGAGTCAGATATGACTGAACAACAACTGTCTCCCAAAAACAGGTCAATGTGGCCATATGATGTGACACACTAGAAAGCACTGACCTGAGAGTCAGGAAATCTAACTGCCACTAATACATTATGTGACTTTGGGAAAATTATTTCCCTTTCTAGGCCTCAGTTTCTCCATCTGTAAATTAAGAGCACTGAACCAGATGACCTTTACTACCCTAACTTTTCATAAAATAGAACCACCTGAGCTCCCAAACCCAAAATCTCTGGGCTCCACACTATCAGACTCCTTAGGATGCATTAGAGAAAAACAGATTTTGAAGCCAGAGGTGATGAGTTTGAATTCCAGTGGTCTGAGTAACTTAAGACTTTCTGGGCCAATTTCCTAATTGGATGACCCTCCTGCTTTCATCCAACTCCAGATCTTTGATCTTCTGGACAGCAGTAGGTTCCTTCACACTCTGCCTTCAAGACCTCTCTGTTCCTGTTTCCTCATTTGTAAAAACTAAGGGGTTGGATTATTTGACCTCTAAAGTCCCTTCCACCTCCCCAAAGCTAATGATTCTAATATGTAATAAAATCGTATTTCAGAAAGTCCCTTGCTGTTCTTTTCAAAATGTTAATAGCACTTTCCTTTCTATAACTCCTCCTCCTCCTCCCAGTTGGTCTTCTTAAAACTAGAGATTTTTGCCTCTATAGATAAACTTCTGGGAGCATGAAAGAGTGGCAATGGCCAACCTTTCCATAATGTTGGCTTTTCTGCCTATTATCTATCCTATAGTTAAGACTCAATTTCCAGTTACTGTCTGCAGCTATAACCAGAGGAAGCACCAACTGCCGGCCCCTTCCAGGGTCCTACTGTTCTTCCTAGATCTGTCTAATTCACTCTCCTGTCTCAATAGACTCCAATAAAATTCCTTTATCCCCACCATCACCCACCAACCTCCTCCCTCACTTCTCTTAGTGCCAAAGGAAGGCACTGGTTGCTAGGAGCTAGCCATGTTCCTCTCACAAAAATAAACCCCTCCTCCCCTGAGTTTCTCTAAAAGATCACCTTCCTAGTCACCATCCTTTGGGAGAATCCTTCTCCCAGAGTTTAATTTGCACACACACATTGCCAAAAGTTGTCCAGCTTAATGAATTCCAAATCTAGAATACAAATCTGGACAGAAGATCACAGCCCCAGAGTACTCCTGGAAATCCTGACATCACTGTGTCTTGGAGGTTTAATAAGCTGATGGGCATGGGGGCACACACACTCACACAAACCCTAAACTAGCAGAAATCTCAACTAGAGTGGACAGATGGGCACAGGGCCTACAGGCTGGCATCGTTGGGTTTTTTTTTTCCTGATCTTTTTCCCATGATGCTTGTGAAGCATTTGGAGATGTCCACCTTGCCAAAGGGACTACTGGTGCTACCAAAATAGCGCTTAAACCCGGGTGTCACCTCCCTCCTCCCTCCTCCTCCTCCTCTTCTGCCCACTTCATTAATGCCTCCCTCCGGGGCAGCTGAGATAAAAGTCCATCGAGGCCCCCTCCTCCCTCCTTTTCTGACAACTGGAATCTCTCCAATGTCCGGATGGGTTTATTCAAGTCCTCTTTCTACATTTAAGGCCTGAAGTGTGACCTCCTTAATTCCGTCACCCGGCACCCAAGCTGCTATTTGGAAAAAGAGACATCCAGGCTTAAACACGGACTACCATTTCACCTCGAAAAACAGAGGTAGGGAGGAGGAGGGAGGAGAAAGGAGGAGGGAAGAAAGAGGAAAGGGGTGTCGTCTCCAAGGAGCGACAGCCTCTTTTTACCTTCCCCAAAAGAGGAAATGATTATAGGTGAGTGGAGAGAGGCAGGGAGAGTTCTGGTCTGGGTAATTCATCTCCTACACACAGAAAGACAACTCCTTCCCACCTCGCTCCTCCGGTACTCCGACTAGCGCTCTGTCCGATCCCCGGAGTCACAGACCTCGATTCTGGTCATCATCCCCAACATGTATGCATGCACCCATGTGTCGGAGTGAGGGGGTGGGGAGAGGGAGATGCAGGCGCTAAGCGAGGCTCGCCCGTAAGAGCAGCCAGTGCTTCCGAGGCTCCCTGCTCGATGCTCGGAGATGCTTCCCTCCAGCACCACCTATCTCCCCCTCCCCGCCAACAGAGATGCAGCGGGCAGAGCCTCCACTAAAGCCCCCCGTAAGAAGACTGCGGGCTTCCTAGCCAAAAGGGAGCGAACCGAAGAGCCGTATTGGGGAGCAGGGGGGGTCTCTCTCTGTAGCAGAGCTAGAGGTCTGCCTTCCCACTCACCCACATATACCTCCCCGCCTTCTCCACACCGTCCCCCCCCCCCCCCTGCATCAAAAGGCATTTTTTTTTATTGCAATTTGCCAGGGAAACAAAAACACGCACCACTCCCAGCTCCCCTCCCTCCCCGACCTCCCCTCTTCTCGCCACCGCTTCCACCCCCAAACCTAAATGCAGCGGAGCCTGGGCAGGGGGGAGGGGGATCAGGACCCATCTAGGCACCGTGTGCCAGGGGGAAGGGAGTTATCCTCCCTCAAAGGTGAAGTGAAGAGGAGGGCGATGAAAAAGGTCTGCGGCAGACCGGAGGGAGGGGGGAAGGTGGGCTGGAGGGGGCGGGGGGCAGCGGAGGCGAATACCAGCGCCAAGGGCGCAAGGCTAGCCCGGCAAGCCGCAGTAACTAACCCGAGGGAGAGCCGAGCGGAGCTGGAGGAAGGAGCCCGGTCGGGCTGTAGCTTGGCCTGCCCGTGGCCGTGGAGGGATGCGGGGCCGAGCCTGGCGGGCAGCTCTGCACCTCGGTCGGGGTCACAAAGCACGCTTCCGCGCACGCCGGGGCGCACACAGCTATTGTCTGGTTCGGCTTATTTTCCTTCCGAGCTGCCTGGGGAATAAGAGCCGTCCGTCCTGGGCTAGCTCCCGGGGTCGCTCTACTCGCACGTTAGCTCCCCACGACCCCTCTCTGTGCTCCCTGCCTACCTTCCCTCGGCTCGTCCTCCCCGCGCCCCGGTTCCAGCAGCCGCGACAATGCTACCTGCCGCTGCAGCCGCCGCTGTTGCCGTAGCTGGTGCTGCTGGTGCTGCCGCTGCCGCTGCCGCTGCCGCCGTCGCCGCTGCCGCCGTCGCCGCTGCCGCTGCCGCCGCTGCTTTTGTCAAGGAGCCGGCGTCTGAGAGCGCTAGGAACCTGGAGCGTGCGTCCTGCTCCGCGTCGCAGTCCAACTAGCCGGGCTGCGAGGGAGGAAACGGTAATTTATAAGCGGTTTCTTCCTGACCTCTCGTGTCTGTTGTCTAATGAGGGAGCATTTAGCATCACCCATCCTGCTGGGTGGAAAAATACCAGCTCGGCCTCTTCTTTGGGGAAGGGGCGGGGAATGTGCTGGGGTGGGGGGGGAAGAGGGAGAGAGGGAGGGGCCAGGGTTCGGGCAACCCTCCCAGGCACACACGCGCGCACACAAGCACACACACAGGCGCAGGCACATACACACACACACACACACACACACACACACACACACACCGCGATCGCTAGCTGTTTGCTCATACACACGCACGCACACACACATACACACCACCACCGCCACCTCCGACAGAAAAGCGGGCAGACGAAGGGAGCTGACTAGGAGGTGTCTTTTGCTGTGAGCTCCAGGAAGAGACTGCGACCAGGACTCCCCCCACACACCCCCCCGGGGGGCAGCCTAGCCTGGCCCAGCCCTACCCGAGGAAGCAGCGGGGAAGAAGGGTCAGAGACAGCTGTCGGCCTAACAAGCGGTCGCTCCAATGTCTCTCTGTGTCAATAATCTTTCTGTGTCGGTCGGTCTTTCATTCTCTGCCTCTCCCTTATTCATTGTCCTTTCTCTCCATCTCTCATTCTAGCTCTGTCGTTGTCTCCCTCATTCTGTCTCTCTCTCCCTCGTTCATTTTCCCTCATTCTTTGTCTTTTCATTTTTTGAATCATTCTAGCTCTCATTCTGTCTCATTGTTCTCTCTCTCTCTCTCTCATTCTTTCCTTCTGCGGCTCTGATATAGTCTGTCTTGGGAATTGTGTCCCCTGGGACAATAAAAGGAAAAACACACTCGCACGAACGCACACACACACACACACACACACACACACACACTCAAGCTTTCCTTAAATGCATTAAGTAAGGTAGGGAACCCCCTTCTCAAACGGAAAAAGGTACTGAGCATCCATTACCCACCACAAACTGGGAGCATAATTTGAATTGAGTGATTAAAAGCACAAAGGCCAAGGACCGGACCAACCCTTACATCACAGCATCCTGCCCAGAAAGGTCTGGGGCTGAGAACTTGGAGAACTAACCTAGAACTAGCTAATTATCATCGATATGGCCTTAGGCAAGTAACCGACAATTTTCCACCATGAAGGTCCACATCTGTAAAACTAAGATCTTTAGAGACAGAAGAGGTCTCAGAGGCTCAGGGAAGTTCAATGCCTCTTCCATAGGCACACTGATAGTAAACATCAGAGGTGGGAACCCAGGTTCTCAGATTCCAGCATCAGTGTTCTTTCCAACTCACCATACTGTCTAACCCGGCCTACCTTGCAGGGAGAGTTTGGTGGAAAATTTCTGCATTTCAGAGTGGTAGGACCTGGGTTCAAATGTTGCCTCTGCACTTGATGCCTGTGAGATACTTGTGGAGTCCACTTACCTGTCTGGGCCTCAGTTTCCTAAGCTAATAAATCAAGATGTCAAACTAAACAACCCCTATGATCCTTTTTCTCTCAGATCTATGAGCCTATGAAAGGAGATACTTGAATGATAAAGAACTTTGTAAAATATCAAACAGGGCATAATAAATACAAGATGTCACACCCAAGAAAATGAAGGTCCCAATCTTTCTCTCCTTTTTTCTTTCTTTCTAGTCCAGCTTCGATCCCTCCAGTAGAGGGAGTAGGTCATATGTAAATTCTGATTAGGATTGGAATGGGAGAGAGATCTTATAAAGGAACCATTAAGACCCCTTCCCCTCCCTCACCAAGGAAGCTACCATCAGAGATTCAAGGATGCCATATAGCTGTCCATTTTTTCTTTTTCTCCCTGGGAATTAGAAAGGCTCAAAGACATCCAGGGAGCCTAGACTGAGGCAAGGAAAGAGAGTCCAGACTGCTGTTTCCCACCCTCTCTGGACTAATGAATGTTTTGGTATACTGGACCGGAGCTTCACAGGCTCTGAGATGAGGTGGAATCCGGGGTGGGGGGGCGACAAAAGACATAAAAGAAAGGAGTTGTCTGAGAAATAGGAGGGAAACTAAGAAAGCCCAGAGAGGAGTTTTAGAAAAAAGTGAATGGATAGTGTAAAATCTGACAGAAAGGTGGTAGAGAGTCAGAATTATTTGATCTGATAGAAAGCAAGCCCCGGTAATGTTCAGTGTAGAAATCTCATTGAGAACAGAAATTCTCAAAAGAAAAAAGATTCACCATCATTTTTATTTTTTACATAATATTGTTTCCCCAGTTATATGTAAAAACAATTTTTAACGTTTGGGTTTCTTTCAAGTTTTGCATTCCACATTCTGTCCTTCCCTCCCTCCCCTGCCCCCTATTATTTTTATCATATGACTATATTAAGAAGAAAAATTAACAGGTAGGTAAAATACACAAAACAGAATCAGGAGACCAACTTCTGCCAAGTAATTCAATGTGTAATCTTGAAAAAGTCACTTCCTTTCTTTGGCCTAAAGTCTACTCACCTATAAACATGTGGGTTAAATTAAATGATCTCTAGGAGTAAACCCTTTCAGCTTTGATGTAACACATTTCTGAGCTCCATGTTCAAAGGTGCTTTACAGCTCAGATAGTCTATATCTAAGGACTTTTCCAGTCCCAACATTCTATGTTCTGATATTATTTTCTAAGCTCCATTCTGACTCTGACCTCCTCTAACTGTGTTTCTGTAGACATTAAGTGTCTACTAGGTGCCAGACCCTGCACTGGGGTACAAATGAAAAGTAAGACAGCCCTTACTCTCCAGGAGGGACTTCATAAGGTTCCATATTTTAGACTTTAACAATCACATCCTTAACGTAATGGATTCATTGATTAGGATCTCAAAGGTTGCTGCCAGCTTTAGAAAAATGGATTCAGGGCTTTAATAAGCCCTTCTGGCTCTGCCAACTAAGGTCCTGTTTTATTCAATCAGTGGTAAGTACCTACTATCTTCTGGGTGCCCAGCTCCTGTGTATGGTGTCAGAAAGGAGCCAAGAGCAAAAATCACAGGCCTTGCAGTTGTTAGAGACTTATATATTGATATACGACAACTTGTAATCAAGACATTTACGAAGAACTACTACAATCCAGACAGAAATCTCTATGGGAAACAGTTCAGGGAATTAAGTGAAGGCTGGAGCAGTCCAAGGAAGATTACTGGATGAGGGAAGACTAGAACTTCCCCAGCAGGGGATACAGCCTTACTAAGGTATGGAGGCAGGAGTGAGCATAGCATGTTTGTGAGATCAGGAGACCACCTAGCAGGCAGCACCAGCTGAAGCCCTCACAGGCTTCCCTCTGCAACAGCACCCCTGGCTTAGCTGGATTTCCCTCCCTCCCCCTAATACCCATGACCTGCACAGAGGAGGGGCGACATATTATCCTTCTTGGGCTGGGATGAGGTGGGATGGGACAACACCCAAGTTGGCTTTCTGTCCCCCTTAAGATATCCATATGATCTAAGGGCTAGAACTGAACACAGAGAGCAGGGAGACTTGAGGTGGGACTGAGTACAGCAAAGTCAGTTTTTCTGGCATGAGACAAAGAATATGGAAGGGTTTATCTTGGAGAGAGAAACAAACAAAAAGCCCCATATTGTTTTGTATTCAAGACTTTAGGCTTCCTCGTCCTCCTTTTTCTTCTTCTTTTTCCTTCTTCTTTTGTCCTTCTTCTTTTTCCTTTTTCCTCTTCTTTTTCTTCTTTTGCCCTTGTGGATTGGAATTTTCTGTGTATCCCAAGTGAGAAAGGACAACCTAGGACCAGTACAAAGATCATAGAATCATGGAATTTTCAAATCATATAATCACTTTTGAAAGTGACTTAAGAGCTCATCTTGGCATTCCTCCCACCTCGTACTAAGAATCTTCTTTAGGACATGTCTGACCTATAGAAGGTCTTCCAATCTCTACTTGAGTACATTCAATGATGGAAAGTTCCCTATTGCCCAAGGCAGCCTATTCCAATGTGGGATAAGTCTTAATTGTGAGAAATTAGCTTAGATGGAGCTGAAATCTTCCCAATGCTACCCTGTGGGGCTGCCTAGATTAAATATACTCTGTCTTCCACATGACAGACTTTCAAGTATTTGAAGACTGCTACCATGTTCCCTCCTCCCTAAGTCTTCTATTCTCCAGACTAAACACCCCCAGCTCCTTGTATAACCTGGTTTCCAGACCCTTCACCACTCCAGCTTGTCAATAACCTTCTTTAAAGGTATCTCCCAGAACTACACCCACTATTCCTGGTGTGGTCAGATTTCAGGATCTCAAATTCCAGTTCTTTTCTGAAGAGCAAATCACAAAACCCCCACCTTGCACCAATGAAGAATGTTAATGCTGAAGACACAGACCCACCTATGATATTAGATTGTAAGCTTCCCATGAGATTGTAAGCTCCTTGAGGGCAGGGACTGTTTTTTGCCTGTTTTTGTATCCCCGTTGCTTAGCTGGCCTGACAGTGCCTGGATCATAGTGGGTGCTTAATAAATATTGATTGATTGACATGTAAACATGCACAAGCATCCAAGTCCATAAGGTACAAATATATCATCATCCATTCAACATGTGTGTGTGTAACATGCATAAACATGCAAACAGAACCTTGTATTCAAGAATCAACACACTTATACAGACACATGTACTGTAAGCACAGATGTACCCGTGTAAAACTATACACACACGTATGCATATTTTAAAACACCTACAAGTGTTTACCTACAAAGACACACATAAAAGGTGTTCACACCCCAATCAGTTCCACAAACTACAATTCCACAAGTTACCCATTCCAAAGATTACATGT